CTAGGCCCGCCAACCACCCGCCCTCCATGTGGACATGCGTTCGAGTCTTAATTACCTCACCCGACAAATTGGTCTTTCTTTTTCTTTCTGAAAAGATGTACATCAAAAGCTTGTCCGTAGGGGTATTGCATCGAATATATTTTTAAGTTTATACGGGTGAACGAGATGATATTTTCCTTGCTAGTGGCTTTCTTCCTCTGTGATTCATCGTCATATCTTTGGGTTCTGCTTTCTTTATCTTTATCATATGTAATCGTTTGTTTAGAATGGTTTATCTTAATATTTTTTAGAGTGGTTTTGGGATTGTAATTGTCGGTGCAGTGGCGGACCTAGAAAAAAAATTGAATGGAGGCTTATTGAAAATTTATTTATAAAATATACATATATCTTATTTGATATTTCATTTATCATACTAGGACTGGAACCCCCCGCGAAATCGCGGGAGTAAAGAATCTCCAACTTTGTTTTTCAAGAATTTAATAACTATAAAATAGTGTTTAAAAAAACATTATCCTATGATGCATTGATAACCATAAAACGACATTTTTCGAAAAAACATAACCCTTAGATGTTTCTGTAACCATAAAACGCTTCTTTAAAAAGATTTAACCGTATAATGCATTAACAACAATAAAAAATATTTTTTGAAAAGACGAACCCAATCTTAGATTCTATAATAACCATAAAAGGATTTTTTTTTTTTGAAAAAAAATAATCTTTGATGCATTAATAACCATAAGACGAAATTTTTCGAAAAGATGCAATTCTTAGATGCTTTGATAACCATAAAACAATGTTTTATAAGATGTAACTCTTGGATGTATTAATAACCATAAAACAGTTTTTTTCTAAAGAAATAAACCTAAAATGTTTTAATAACCAGAAAACGATTTTTTTTAAAGACGCACTCTAGAATGTATTTTGTAGAGTTTCTATAATTAATTCAAAAAGACGCAACCCTTAGATGCTTGAATAACCACAAAATATTTTTTGTAAGACGCAACTCTATGATATATTAATAACCATAAAACAATTTTCTTTTAAAATGTAACCCTAAAATGTCCGAATAGCCATAAAGCGATTTTTTTGAAAAGACGTAACTCTTGGAAATAACCATAAAACGGTCATATCGAGAAGACGCAATCCTTGAAAATAACCATAAAGCGGTTATATATAAAAAAATATATTGGAAAATGATAAAATCAAAAAAACCATAAAAAAATTATTTTTGAAAAGAGACAAGCCAAAAATACAACCATAAAATGGTTATATCAAAAAAATGTTACCCTTAGAAATAACCATAAAGCGGTTATATAAGAAAACGCAACATTTCCATAGACAATTGTTAAATAAAAAACTCACTACATACACCACCCATTTATGAGAAATATTTAGTTGGAAATTTCATTAGTTTTTTTATAAATAAAATTTGTCATAAAATATGCATTGTCTAAAGAAATCTCAAATTCTTTACACAAATCAAAAACGTTTGGAGCTTCATCAATAGTAAAAAGATCAATACTTTTGAACAATTTGAAATTAATCGAGTGGCGTTTTTCATTTTTCTTATGTTTTAAGTAAATTATTGAACAAATAGCCATGATTAACAAAATATTCCATAGAAAAAAATTAATACATATATATTTTGGGCCAACGGTTTTCCCCAAAAGGGGTTATATTGAAAAGACGCAACATTTAAAAATAATTATAAAGCGGTTATTTTTAAAAGACACAACTTTTAAAAATAACCATAAAGTGGTTATTTTGAAAATACGCAACTCTTTACAAAACATTTATATTGAAAAGACACAACTCTTGACAAACGGCTATAACGAAAAGCTGCAACTCTTGACAAAGCGATTGTAACGAAAACATGCAATTCTTGAAAATAACCATAAAACAGTTTTTGTTAAGATGGAAAGACACAACTCTAACGGTTACAACGAAAAGATGCAATTTTTTATAAAGCGGTTATAACGAAAAGATGCAACTATTGAAAATAACAATAAAACGGTTTTTATTGAGAAGACGTAACCCTTCAAAATAACCATAATGCGGTTCTAACAAAAACCTATGAATAGAAGACAGTTTTTCAAGAAGACAAAATAAAAAATATTCATTTGTTTGGGTTTGTTATTATATATAGATTACATATTGTTTTATATTTTACATGCACGCTACTTTTGAAATCTTTTATAATGAGGCAATCCGGAGGGGGCAACTTAAGTGTTAGAGCCAACTAAACTACAAAATCCTTTGGTAATGTGATGTAAATCAATTTATTTGTATATTTTACTGGGGCAGCTGCCCCCAACCTGCTCTACCTAGATCCGCCCATGTGTCGGTGTTTCCCTTGTCTTGTCTATGCCTCTTGGTAGTCGTTTGGGCTTCCCTTTCTCATACTCTTCATTTAAGATGGATTCGTTTCCGTTCCCATACCCGACTTTGTTTACTATATAACACTGGTATTATGTTTAATATTATCATTCTACATGACAGAAAAACAATAGTTTAGACCACAACATTTCATGAAAGGTGGTCGAGGTAGTGTTTTGGTAGATTGCGTCATTTCAAAGGTTATGGGTTACGGGGTGGGCAAAAAACCGAACCAAATTTTCGAATTAAAAACCGAACGGGTACTCGAAATATCTGAAACATAAATTAACTTAAGGATATTTAGATTTAAGGTCGGATATGTTCATATTATTTAGATAATTTTCTAGTTTTTTATTTCTTTTCTCTACTAGTTTGGGTATCGTAATTATATTTGGATGAAAATAACAAATTTAGATATATTATTTGAATTATTACAATTTATTTTGTTGTTTCTTGAGCATTTTCGATTACATAAGAATTAAACCAAACGAAATTCGGAAAACAAATCTAGTAGTTATGAGTATTTCGAATAATATTTGAATATTTTGGGTAGGAAATCCGAAAATAACTCGATTTTCTTTAATATCCAAGGAAACCCAGATTACCCAAACTGGTACCCAAACTTCCATCTCAATTATGGGTTACCATTTCTGCAAATAACACTAATTCCATTATTTAATTACTATGTTTGGTATTAAAAAAGGCATATAATGATACCTCCCAGTTCAACTTCCAGATCTCACAAGAAGAAAACACAAAAAGTCTTCATTCAGAGACATGGATACAAGAGCAGGAAAGCTGCTACTGCCCATTCACGAGCATCCTATTTTTCCTTCGGCTCGGATTGTTTTGGGGACATGTAAAGGCTGCGGTGTAGAAGGATTCCTCTATGGCGGGTACACCTGCAATGATTCTGATTGTAAAGTTTGGTTCCATAAGGAGTGTGCAGAGGCCCCATCGGAGATCAACCACCCTTACCACCAACAACATCCTTTGTTGCTCACTAGTGACATGGGAGGTCGTCCATGTGATTTGTGCGGACAAAAGCCATTGGAAACTGCTGGTTATAGTTGTTCCACATGTGACTTCAACGTGGATTTGACTTGTGGGATCAAACCAGCACCCCCTGTTATCGAGCATCCGCTGTGTCATGACCACCCACTTGTCTTCTTAAAGAAACGAGAGAAGGAGGCCCTTTGTGAGGTATGCAAGGAGGATACTATTGGTAGACCTTCCTACTCATGTCTTGGATGCGATCTGTACTTCCACGTGGACTGTGTCCAACTCTCGAAGGAGGTAAATCATCCTTGCCACTCTAACCATCTTCTCAAGCTCCTCCCATCTGAATCACTAACCGTTGAAGCTGAGAAAACTTGTCTTTTATGTGAACGACAACAAGAAAATATGCTTTATCATTGTTCTATTTGCAATTTCACCGCTTGTCTTGGTTGTACCAAAAACCCACCCCCTCTTTCTATCGACCATACCAAGACCCACAAGCATGAGCTTACTCTCTTTCCAAATGCTATGTCATATTATTGTCAACTTAGTGGAACGGTCAGGGACAGCAGAGCCTATATGTGTCTTCCTTGTGGTTTTTTTGTCAATGGGTATTTTATCAGCTTACCCCGAGTCATAAACATCAACCGTCATGATCATCGCATCTCTTTTACTCATGAGCTTGGCCCTGGCTATTTGAATTGTGGAGTTTGCCGCAAAAGTGTGAGAAAGGATGCTGGGGCTTATGCCTGTGTAGTTTGCTGTAACTATGCAGTTCATTCACAATGTGCAGTGGAGCAAGATGTTTGGGACGGTGTGGAATTAGAAGGAACACCTGAGATAATCGAAGATGTTTCACCATTCAGGGTGATGGGTGATAACTTGATTAGGCATTTTAGTCATGAGAAACATAATTTAAGGCTCCACAAAGAGTGTAGTATCATTCATGATGAGTACACACGATGTGAGGCATGCACATATCCGATAGGATTTGATCCGATCTACAGCTGTGAGGGATGTCCTTTTATCCTCCATGAAAAGTGCGCTAATCTTCCCACGAAAAGGAGGCTCGTGTTTGATACCACACCGTTCACATTAGTGGGAGCAAGTAGTCTTGTCCGTGATTTGCTAGATTGTTCCTTGTGTGGCGAATGTTCTACTGGTTTCAAGTACGTGTCTCGAAGGAATGGGAATATAGATGTACATTGTGGTTCTCTTTCTGAGCCGTTCATTCATGATGGCCATTTACATCCCCTATATTTTGATGGAAAGGAGAATAGCTATTGCAATGCATGTCATAAGGTATTATATTATATGCTCTGTTGCATTGCTGGTGATCGCTTTGATTTGTGTTTTAGTTGTGCTAGTTTGCCAACAAAGATAAGGCATAGAAACGATGAGCACCCTCTCACTCTATGTTGTGGTGAAAAGGCGAATGGAAATTATTGGTGTGATATTTGCGAGACAAAATTAGATCCACGTAAATGGTTCTATACATGCTTTGATTGTGGAGTCACATTGCATGTGGAATGCGTACTAGGAGATTTCTCTCGTCTCATGCCAGGACGCATCATTGATTCTGGTTGGGAAAAGAATTTTGATGTGGTTGTTAACAATCACAACACTCGGCCACTATGCATCATGTGTCGCTCTCGATGCAAGGTCTCCGTCATCCTGAAGGTTTGTGATGAAGACGATGGATACATCTGTTCTCGCTCATGTTTATCTGATATGTTTCTAGCTCGTTCATGGTGCTTGAGTGTTTTCTTTTAATCTTGTGCGTGGAAAGCTAGGATTAAACTTTTAATCTCCTTTATATTTTACATTATGAGTGAATCTTTCATGGTTGTGTTATTCGCTTCCCCATCTAATTTTTATTTCCAAGTACCGAAACCGAAATGTAGTAATACATAGAATGTGATTTGGTTTCTCGTGAAAGATGCTGATCAGATCAAAACCAAACTCAAATCTGCTTCTTAATATGAACTTCTTTACTCTGATTGTTTCGCAACATAACAGAGCTTTGTTTGCGTCTTCTGGATAAGTAATTGACATCATGTCCGAAACTAGGGAACGCAGGTCACAGTCTTTACTATTCACTAAGCTCTCTTAATTATCTGCAAGAAACTAGACACAATCAAACTCAATGTTATATGAGAGCAAAATCACTTATTAGTTATGAACAGAGCTCTAAAACATATTGAGTTGCTGGACATGAAATGGCCTAGCTTTTGGTTCCTCGTGACAGAGTTTTGTCATTGTCAAAAAAAAGGGTTCCTATACATCGGCAAATCATCAACCAATCTCAATTCAAAGATTGCTTCGAATTTTTTAAACATATAAGAGAAAATGATTGACTTGCATGTCTACAAAAACTGATACCCTCAAGAAGAATTGTATGAGAGTTAACTCGAGAAGAAACTACATTTCTGATTCATTCGGAAATATAAGTGACGGAGTTAAAAAAAAGAAAAAATTAAGAAAAAATGGCTTCGCCCGGGTTCGAACCGGAGACCTTCAGTGTGTTAGACTGACGTGATAACCAACTACACCACGAAACCTTTTTGTCTAACTTGACCTTAATAATACTTAATAAATCATTTGACAATTTTTCCCTTTCTTTGTCGGCTCATCTTTTCGACTTTCGCTGCA